TGATGTTTTATCTTTTCTGGCTTCTTTAAATAGAGACATATGAAGCTACATAGGGAGGTAGTAAAATACAAAAAATATAATCTGTATGAATTAATAGCTGCCTAACTGATCACCAGAACATAACTTAAATATTTCATATAATTAATGTGCTCTGTCTAAATGCTGATATGAGTAAAGTTGTTCTACATATGAACTGGAGAATACATGATAGAAACAATCCTAATAAGTGAGGTATGGAAAAGATGCCTTAGACTTTTCCAGTTCTCATTACTGTGATAGAGTGAGATACAGCTGTGAACATAACTGTTTAATGTAACACATTCGAAGATCCTAATCAGTCATTCCATATGTGTTCTTGGTTTGCCTCTAAGAGATGACAGTAGAAGTCTGGGATGCAAGATCTGTAATCATGATATTACTACCGTTCTTTTAACAGAAAAATTAAACAACTTGTTTACTTAAATAATGATTTAACTAGTTTAGAGACAGCCATGCTCTTTTTGAAGGAGAAGTTACGCAAGTTTCATCCTTTCTGTTGAACGTAGTAAAGTAAATACTACAAATGAGCCTAAACAAATAAAATATGCAATCAAATCAACCTTGGAAATCAACCTGTGTCAATGTGATGGACAGAGAACTGGGCTCTTCTCCATGGTGCCCAGTGTAAGCACAGAAGGCAATGGCCACAAACTGAAATACAGGGAATTGTTTAAATGTAAGAGAAATCTTGCATTAAAAAAGCACCAGTTTGCCCTGCTCACCTCATTTGGTGCAACAGGAGTGGGCTGCTATTGGGGAGGTCACTGGCATCTGGCTCCCCTTTCCTTGTAGAGTGGCTTATTCTTCTTGCTCCTGGACAAACTTGATTCCAACTCAGTAGGAAGTGAAAGAAAATAATGTTCAGAAGTTTTTGGTTTCCTGACCTGTTTTTTTTGTTTGGTTGGGGTTTTTTTTGTGTTTGTTTGGGTTTTGTTTGTTTTTGTTTGAGGTTTTGTTTGTTTGTTTGTTTTTCATGGTATGATGCTCAGAAATAGAATTGTTTTGTTTTAACTGAAGAGTGAGTTGGGTGTGGGAAATGAAATCAAGTGTTTTAGGAACAGTTTGGAGTTGGGGTTAGAGGGAGCAACTTGTGGATCTGGAAAGTGGAATGATGAAGCTGGTGAACAAGAGTCATGCTGTTTTTCTTAGAGACTTACTGATGTAACTTCACCTTTGGGGAATGTTTATTTTGGTTTGTATGCAAAGAGAGATTTTTAGTGGACCCTAAAATTCTAGAAGAAAGTAATAACAAGTCTAGCACCCTTTTAACAGAACAGTCAGGTACACAAGAAAGTGAACAAAGTGCACAGAGATGTGGTAGAGGAGAGAAAGGTTGGGAAAAAAGAGCCATAAAAGCTATAAAAGCAGAGGATGGCAGAGGCAAAAAAAAAAAAAAAATTCAACAGCCTATGACAGTCACCTGAAAAGAATAGTGTTTTTTTTTTTTCTTACTGCATTAAGGGTGCATGTTTAGTCTTAACTCCTACTTTCACGCCATTTTTGCAGCTAGATGAGAATCAAAATGTGAACAGGTAAAGGTGGCTGCAAGAGAAACTAATCTTCATTGTGATTTAGAGCAACACTACTTCTTTAGTTATTTTTGGATCCTGGCAGTGGCCTTCCTGGGATACCATTCCACCAGTGCAGCATTACCAAAACACAGGTTTTGATTATCCCATCAAAATATCCACTTTTCTCTGCCAGGTTTAGTAGTGACACTGAGAACTTAATGTCTCAAGCACTTTATTCCTTATGAGATTACCCCATGATAAATTAATCTTCAACAATTTACTAAGGCAGATAAAAATTAGGAACTTTGATCCTTATCTGTTCTATTACAGTCTTTCCCTTTCTTTATGTCATATTGTCTTCAAGAGCATAGTTAGTTCCAGTATATTCTGAGGTCTGTGATCTGAACATGGGGATGATTAAAGAGTACTGCAGAAACTTGGTTGTATGGAATTTAGGATTTAGACATGGATACTGAAAGAGCAACCCCAATTTTGTTCTCATTTATTGAAGATGAATTTTTTGTATAGAGAGTCAGCCATAGGTATTTATACAGGGAATTAAAGCCTTGTCTTTCTGCCAGGATATTCTACTATGTGAACCCCTTTGCAAATAATTGCAAAGTCTGAATTTTCAAAATTCAAAGCAGAGGGAGTATTTAAATACAAAAAATAAGGGTACATTCTTCTCTTTGTGTTCTGGTGTGCACGCTTATGTACCTTACAGAGAAGTGCAGTGCTTCAGAGCTTTGGAACTCACAAAGCAAGAAAACAATTCCAAGATGTGGTCTGGCATGATGCAAACTATCTCTAAAAAATAGTTTTCGAAATATGCTGGAAGTATTAGTTATTGCTTGTTACTTCTGCTGGGCAAAGGACATGAATCTGTATGTAGTTTGAAAGCACTTCTGGGATATTTACTGAATCCCCTTGATTACCAGATAAGAACAACCAAATTTTATTGTATCTGCAAACCCAGTTATTATTGAAGATAATGTTTCCAAGGTGAATGGAACACAGTTAAATACACTGTCTGCCCACATACTGTGGGCAGAACATGGTATGAATGGAATGAAAGGCTCAAGGGCAGTTGATTGGACATTAGCAAAAGGTTCTTTACTGAGAGGGTGGTTGGTCACTGGAACAGGCTCCCCAGGGAAGTGGTCACAACACCTGGTCTATCAGAGTTCAAGGAGTGTTTGGACAATGCCCTGAGCCATATGGTTGGGTTTTAGGTAGTCCTGTGAGGAGAAGGGATTTGGACTTGATAATCCCTGTATCTTCCAACTGAAGAAATTCTTTGATTCTAGGACTGTTTCTTGCTTTTACCCTCAAATCATGTTCCCTTGTGCCACACAATGCAAACAAGATAGTGGTTATCCTCCATCAAGAGATCATTCTACTTCTACTTACATGTGCATATCAATGAAACACCTGCCAAGAGAAAGAATGGAGCAGAGCAAATACAAATTATTATTTAATATTAGTAAGCTTACCTACTAGGTGTAGAATGTTTAATTGAAAAAGTGTTACATATGTTCTGTGCACAAACGTGCGTTCCCATGCTTGGGAAGGTACAGGGAGAGGAGGTTTAGGAGCTATTGTCCTGCCACAGGACCTTTAAGCCATGGGTGCCCTCCTCCCACAAAACATACTTTGTCATTAATGACAGCTATGATAGCTGATCTTAATATGCCTTTGGGCTGCAATTCTGTCCCTCAGCTCCATGGTGTGGGCTGGGGGGAGAGGTTTCCTGTCGTTCTGCTTGCTGGAGGATAGACATACATTTGGTTTGAAGTAAGCTTTATCTCTGTATGTATAATGGATATATCAATACAAATACCTGTTTTTGTCATGATGAACTATAGTGTGAAGTGTAAGAAAGAATGTGCTGATAATATAGGTTATTGTTATAGGTTGGATTGTCTTTCCTTCTCATTCTTTGTGTTTTACCAGCTAGACTCTGCTCCTACATTAGAAATTATCTTGTGTTTGGTAAATACCTTTAAACAATGCTCTGTTTTACCATGTTATCTATAGGATAACGTGAGAGGGTGGCTTGCAGTGCTGCCTGTTGCTCTTTCTGGGTTCTCCATGTTTTTCTGTAATTGTTTCAAGGGAATTTTTCACCTTTTGATCAGCTAAATGCTCATCTCAAATAATTGTACAACCGTCATCTACCTGGCAACAAACTTTGTAATGCAGATGTATTAGAAAAAGCCTACAAATTATTTGTTCCTTGCTTGGATTTACACAAATCCAAACGAGACTCTAATTTCATATTGAATATTAACCTTAAAGAGTAGGTGCGAGCACTGCTGTGGCGCTTTCACCTCTGACCAGCTGGGGATCAGCCTGCTCGGGTAGGGCAGTGCCAGCAAAGGGCTAATTGAAGACCCACTGCCCTGCGCGGGATGCCCAGGGTCACCCATCATTAAAAGCACTAGGGAAAAACAAATCGACCCCCAAAATCAGCACCCCGACCCGGCAGACAGGCGGAGGGCGGGCCCGCCCCCGCAGAGGGCAGCATTGAGCAGGGGATGTGCCCGCACGGCTCCCGCACTTGTCCCCGGCGCCGCGGGGAGAGCCCGGACCCGGCACGGCCGCTCCCGCTGCGCGTT